GATTTGCCGTTGAGTGTCTGGAACTAAAATCGAACACTCGAGTAGGTGAACACCGCTGAGACCTCCATAACACTGTAAATTCGTGCTGAAACTACCGAAACGTTCTGCCGTTCGGTAGATAGACTAAACCACATACAGGGATTCTAGCGACCAGCAAGATATTCACGGATGGCAAGATTTTCATGCCTTTACACCGCACAAACGAGGACCGACCGCAAGGCCAAAACTTATGGAACTATTTTCGGCTAGTGTGCCTATGCGGTCGGTCAAAACTTTAAAGTCCCATAACTCCTGAACCCTTTAACCGAATGGGATACTAGATTTATGGGTGTACCCCAAGTATTTGGGGTACATCCAAAACTAGGGTAAAAATGTGTGTGTGTTAATTATGTTAACTGTTTATCTAAGGGGAGGAGATGTGTGGGATGTACCATGTTTGTTATTGGTTACTGTACTAATTATGTAGGTGTCTCCCTTTCATGGGCAGAATTGCATAAAAGGAGAATACTTGTCATTAAAACCTAGTTCTGCTTGACCCTTCAAAACGTAGCCTTGTCTCGTTCTTGGAAGGGGATTTAATGCATGATTACCTTGCTCCTTTTAACAGCTATACATGACTCTGCTCTTGGATCGTGTGGATGGGAATAAGTAACTTCATTACTATACAGCAAATTGCCGGGAAAAAGGACGTCTCCAACGGCTGATACCCTCTCACTACCTGGGTAGCCGTTACAGCAACATCTCTGGAGTACAGTGATACCACCCATGTATAGGTGTGTCAGGTTCTCTGGAGCCTAAAAGACCTTATTTGGAGGGTACGCATTCCAGTTTTCCAACTTGGCATTTTCACAACTGGTCATCATGCACCCTATTGTCCTCTTTGGGACATTTGTGAAGCTGGCGAATGTAATTTACCCCCATCAAACCATATATTTTTTTAAAGTAGACAACCCATGTGTCATGAAATCCACTTTGACACTGGTTTCTGGAGGGGCCTGTTTGCCAGCCTCCTACCCTGGGACTATGGGCCGTGTGATAACCCATGTTGCAAAGTACTATTTCTGCCCCTTGGACATTTAACTGGAACAGATTCAAACATGTGGCGCCGGCCATCTTAAATTGTCCAGCGGTGTTTTGTCGTCGAGTGTATGGAACTGTTTTGGGCATGGGACCATGTGCACGGTGGGGCAAAAATAAGACTTCCAGGAAATTCCTGAACCAATCTGGGTGATTTTTGGATATGTTGTTCTTTTGTGGTACTTTTTGGAGTTTGTAAAAATGTATGTTTTTTCTGTTTAGAGTTAATTGAGTTAGCGCATTGTCTTTGTTAATTGTATCACAGGCAGAAGGGAGGGATTGTGTGCTGTAAGTAGGAATGTTGGATATTGTTGTATTGTTCTGATTGGTTTGTTTCCTTTGTGTGCCTGTGTTCCATCAGGTCCAGGGGGTGTGCCTCTGGCCTGAGGAATTATATATACGCAAACTTGTATCAATAAAGCCTCAGACTTTTTCTACCCTTCATGAAGTCTTGGAGATTGGAGATCTACCTACACTCTGGGGATTGTTATAATCACTCTACTCCCCAGAGTATAATCACTAGCTCTTGTAAGAGCTGTTCCTGCTCTATGGATTACAAGAGAGGTCTACCTACTCGAAGCTGGGTCCTGGTCTTGGGTCCAGAGTGGGTGGAAGACAGCGGGACCCCAACCAAGCTGCAGCGGTTTGTGGGGTCTGCGGTGGTTATGGTGTCTAGTGGAGTGCTTGGAACCCTCGGGAAGCACTAGGAGCATCCGTGAAACGTAGGTACCCTGTTGGGGTGCCAGGTGATCCGTTACACCACAGTATTCAAAATGGGCATGTCCACTATTTTTTAGTAGCCACTTAGTCACAAACCCTGGCAAAAATGTGCATTTATATTTGAATTTTTGCATTTTTTACACATAAACTGCCATTTCACCAATTATATTATACTGCTCTAAAACACTCATATTTGTGTAGAGTAATGTCTCACGAGTACAACAGTACCCCTCAAGTATAGATTTTATGGTGATTTGGAAAGTTACAGGGTCAAACATAGGTTTTGCCAATTTCGTTTTTTGTAAATTGCTATTCCTGGGCTTCCATATGGTCTCAAAAGGCAATATAGACCCAGCAAACCAATCTGGCAAATTGAAATGGGCAAGCCGGGGGACTGCTGGGCACTTGGGGCAGTCCCCCTGGACCGGGATCGCTGCGGATTACCGGTCCAGTTGAGTACCCAGGTAATTTCAGCTACTGACGTACCCTACACATCCGAGGTCAGGAAGGGGTTAAAGGGAGTGCTCCTATTCTCAGCTCATTACCAGAATAAAAGACACCTGTCCACAGAAGCAATCAATCAGATTCCTAACTCTCCAATATGCCAAGACCAAAGAGCTGTTCAAGGATGTCAGGGAGAAAATTGTAGACCTACACAAGGCTGGAATAGGTTACAAGACCGTTGCCAAGCAACTTGGTGAGAACGTGACAACAGTTGGTGCGATTATTCACAAATAGAAGAAACACAAAATAACTGTCAGTCTTAACTGTCAGTTTGTCTGGTGCTCCATGCAAGATCTCACCTCATGGAGTTTCAATGAATATGAGAGCGGTGAGGAATCAGCCCAAAACTACATGGGAGGATCTTGTTAATGATCTCAAGGCAGCTGGGACCATAGTCACCAAGAATACAATTGGAAACACACTATGCCGTGAAGCACTGAAATTCTGCAGCGCCTGCAAGGTCCCCCTGCTCAAGAAAGCACATGTACAGGCCTATCTGAAGTTTGTCAATGAACATCTGAATGATTCAGAGGAGAACTGGGTGAAAGTGTAGTAATGCTGCCTATGACCCCAAGAACACCATCCACACTGTCAAACATGGAGGTGGTAACATGATGCTTTGGGGGTGTTTTACTGTTAAGGGGACAGGACAACTACACCGCACCAAAGGGAAGATGGACGAGGCCATGTACTGTCAAATCTTGGGTGAGAACCTCCTTCCCTCATCCAGGGCATTGAAAATGGGTCATGGATGGGCCATGACCCAAAAGACATAGCCAAGGCAACAAAGGAGTGGCTCCAAAGAAGCACATTAAGGTCCTGGAGTGGCCTAGCCACTCTCCAGACTTTAATCCCATAGAAAATCTGTGGAGGGAGCTGAAGGTTCGAGTTGCCAAACGTCAGCCTCGAAACCTTTATGACTTGGAGAGGATCTGCGAAGAGGAGTGTGACAAAATCCCTCCTGAGATGTGAGCAAACCTGGTGGCCAACTACAGGAAACGGTTGACCTCTGTGATTGCCAACAAGGGTTTTGCCACCAAGTACTAAGTCGAAGGGGTCAAATACTTATTTCACTCCCTGACATGCATTCAATTTATAACTTTTTTTACATGCGTTTTTCAGTGGACAAACGTTCAAAATCAGCAGGGGTTCAAATACTTTTTCCCCTCACTGTGTGTATTTATGTGTCCATGTGTGTTTGCAAATGAGTCTGTGCTTGTATATCAATGCATGAATATAAGTACATGTGAATATTAAAAGTTTATGTAGATTAATGTGTACAGGCACTCCTCACTTACTGACTGGGTTCTGTTCTTACAACTCAGTTGTAAAACAAACTGGTCGGTAAGTGAGGATGCGTTACAGAGCATGTGCATCAGTGCAGGTCTATGTTTGGGGAAATTTCCCCAAACATAGACAAGCACAGCAGAGCAGGGAATCCCTCAAATCTATGTTCGGGTTATTTACCCGAACGTAGACATACGCACCAGGGCAGGGAATCCCTCTAATTTATGTTCGGGGAAAATTCCCCGAACATAGACCTGCTCTCTTGAATCCCCAGGCTAGAAAGCTGGTTGTAAGTGCGAGCCGTCGAAAACAGGTAGGTCGTAAAGTGAGGACCACCTGTATGTGCATGTAAATGCACAGTTAAAGCATTATTGTGCCATTTTTTAAGCTCCCTCTGTGTACTCCTTCATATGACACCTAACACAACACTGACAAAGGCCCTAAGGGGTCGAAACATTGTGTGGCTCTTGGGTCCAATAAAAAATTGCCTATTGTTTGGAACAATTTGGAGTGCCTGGATTACTTTCTACAGTTATACTTTATAAGTGGTCTCTTTGGTACTGGGATTGATCCAGCAGCACCCTGAGAAGGGATGAGTTCCACCATCTACATACCTAACACAACACTGTGATATGTTGTATAGTTATGTGTATAGTATTTAGTGATGATAAATTGTTTATTATTTTAATACCTACTGATAAATAAATCTAAAACTTCCTATCTGCCAGAGGCATTTTTATTGTATATCTCATGAATATGTATGAGTATGTGTTAAATTTGCATATATGAATAAGGATACATGTACAAAATTGAGTATATATTAATGTGCTCAAAGAGGATTAGTGATATATACCAAAGCATGCTGGTTACCAATAATAATGTATGTGTATACTGTAATGTACACGTGTGTGTCTATGCATTTATGTGTATAACAATAATTGCAGTTATATTTATTTTTGCCTTTTTAGACACTCAGTAGCTCTGCAAATAGTATTTCAACATTGTTATTACTACCAGGGTGTTTGAGTATGATGTGTTGTTGTAATGTATGTAATGAGTGCTTGCATGTTTTACCTGTCACCATTTGTAGGATATTAATTTGTAACACATGTCATTAACACGTGCATTTTTTATAATTGTATAGTAAAGATTGCTGCTGTGTGATGGGTTTGATATGTTATTTTAACCAGGTTCAAGGTGCTTTGGGTTGGAGAAGTATTACTTCCCTGTTTGGTAAAGAAGAAGAAGAACATAGAACAGATCATGGAGCTGACACAAGACCAGTGGAAGAGGAAGAGCAGTGAGTAATAACATGGTAGATAGGGTAAGGGAGGGGTAAGGTGCAATTTTTCCCCAGAATAGGCAAACTAAAAATCACATTAATTTTTTTGCAGGCCTTCATCTCCAAACCTGCAAGAAACACCCCAAGAGAGGAATCCTTCAGCACTATGGAGTGTGTTCTCTAGACGATGGCAACAGAGCTCTACTGAACGAACACAGAGCAGAGGTGTTCTGGCAGAGCCACCAGTAGATTCTAATGTTGCTCAACACACTGAAGAAACACCATTTAGGTGGGGTTTCCTAACTAGCAAAATAGCAGAGCTGCGAAGCAAGAGCGATTAGAGACTCCCATAAAGAAAGACTCTACTCATGAGGAGTTGTGTAGCGTTATCCCTTACTCATACTGTAATCCTGGCCTTAAAGTGTTACATAAATCAAGACCATATAAAAAGTTCTGTAACTTACTGCACCATGGAATCGCATGACTATATATAGTTTTTATGCCCAGTATATTTTCAGAAATGGTAATCACTCAATAATTTACATTTGCAAATTTGAAACTGAACCCAAAAAAAGATTTTCAGGATATTGGCAACTTGCAAACAAGGAGAATAAATCTAACACTTTTACTCAAGGTGCCTTGAAAATGGTGACTGCTGCATTGTCAGTTATCAAAGTGTTATTATACCAAACTATAACTCCCACTTTATAATCTTTACATCACTCTGTGATATTATGTAGTTGCTAAATCATCATCTTATTATTAAGGATGGGCAAATGTTGGTAAAATTGCATTAGTTGGGGTGAACGTGTGTTTTAATAAAATTCATACAGATAATTCGCATTCTCCTCCATTGATTAATTAGCTACATTAATGAGGAGTCAACAGTTTAAAACATTATCCTCCCCTTTCTAATTTGATGGACATTTTTCTCACTGATTTGCACTGAGAAACCACAACATTCTACTAGGATAAATGTACATTTTCCACCAACTTTTTATGAAAAGTAAAATAGAATGAATGTACACTTATCCATAGAAACTGTTAGTTGCGCACACATTTCATAAGTGCAACATTGAAGGTGGACAAACATGAATTCATATGGTTACTGACTTCAGTTGCATTCACTAACAAATGTAAACCACGTCTGAATTTTTTGACTGAAGACTGAAGTAACATGGCCAGCATTTATATGTTTTGGTGAATGTAATGAAACATTTGCCCACTTATGTTTTTCCTCTAACAACTTACTCAATGTATACAATGAGGAACGTATGCAGGATCATGCTAATGTGTTTTTTTGAGCGCAAATATAAAGTAAATTGACATTAACAAAATCTAATGTGTAAAGAGTACTAAGCAGGATAAAAAAGATCAATACATCTTTAAGGTCTATTAGTATAAGACATAGCAGCAAGTACATATTTAATATAAAAATTTATCTTGCTATCTAGGACAGCCAGCAAGAAACAAAAAAGAAAAAAACTATATATTTAACTTGGTATTTAGCTACTATCTCATAACTTGTACTCCTCACAGACGCAATACATTAATGTCAGCCAAAAGTATTTCTCAATGTTATGTCCTTTCTTTTCGTCTTCTTATGGCTTGTGTTTAATAATTTGGTGTACAATGATTGCACTCACACTGTAGACTCCCGTGGCTTTTGCTTTTCCCTCTGGTTCCCAGTAGACCTTGCTTGTTGACAGCTGTAGATCCACTTTATGACCCTTGCATTCCTCTCAATAACAGATACTGGTGTTTTTTCTTCTTTAACATCCTCACTGAATGCCCCCTCCTTCCCACCACTAACACCTGTTATTGACTCCAGACTACCAAATGGTGTGTCTCCATTCATCTTGTATACGTTTTCCAACAAGTCCAGCAGACTTCCTTCCAGGCCACAAGTCTCAAAAAAGTGTTCAGAATCAGTAGGAGTTGTACAAGTCTGTTTGTCTGATGTAGGTTGTTGTGTGTGGGAGTCAAGGAGACAAGAATCTTTGTTGAGAGAGGACTGCTCTATCCTTTTTTGTGTCCTTGGAGACACAGGCATTTCTTGAGGTCTGGGTTGGGTGAGATTACGTGATGGAGAGTTGCTTCTCTTTAATAGTGGAGTACCCTGAAGAAGTCGAATCACTAGTCCTGGTTCACTGTCAGTGTTCTCTTTGCCAGTTAATGAAACTTCACGTCTCTGCCTGTAGATAATGAGTGAGTCTGGTCGATATTGTCTCCAAGCACTAACACGACGCAAACATTGTAGATGGGCCTCTGGAGAATTTTGCACTGATTCATTGCCCTGGTGGCACGCAAGGAAATTTGTTTTTTTGGAGTGTGTATAGCAGCCAACAAGTTTGTTGTCTGGTTGAATTAGTCTTCTGGGATTTCTAGAAGTGGGATTTGTCTGGTGAGAATGATTTGATCTTACCTCCTTATTATAGGGTGGTGAAATGTTTTTTCTTTGTACAACAGGACTCATGGTATTGCTACAGGGGTATTCTGCCTGTGTCTCACAGTTATTGCCTGCTAACAGTGATCTGCGTGGCATGGCAGGTGTAAAGCTTGCATTAATTACTGGAATTTGTCTCCGCTCAATCACCTGTGGTGTTTTAACATATTTGGCTTTATCCGCCTCCAAGCGGTCAGTTGCTGAGGCCCCTCTTGAGTATTTATGAAGAAGTGGAGATACAGGAGGAGAAACAGGAATCATTATAAAGTTTAAATGGAGATAATCAATACCAGAAAGTCATTCCATGTGAACTGAGGTTGTGACATGGCAGAGTCTCTCTATAGAGTGGGACACAAGCCCTGTAAAACAGAAACGCATTGTCAGCAACCTCCATTATAAACATTGCATAGTGATAATAAGGAGATATAAGAGCAAATATGTTTGGGTTTTAAAGAACTGTAAATTAGAAAGAAATGTGGAAAGAAAATATGTGTTTAATACATTAATAAAAATCAAACAAAAATATAGCATTAAGAAAAATTAAGAGGGAGTCTACATGTTATAAAAAGGGTGAGTCAATTACACTAGAGGCAAATAATATGTATTGATATTGTTTATCACCTGGCCCTACCAGCACATTTCTTCTTACCAAAATGGCCCTCAGTTATTTTTACCTTTATCTTCCATATTTCCCTAACCCTTACTCATTCAAACATATTATTTTCCTGACTACATCAACATCAACACTTTTGGAGACTTGTGTCGGTCAAAGAACCTTTAGCTCTAGTAGAAATAAACTTCAGTATTACCCTCTATTTGTATTGTACACAGTACTGGAGACCGTATCTTCAGAAGGATATTGATACCTTAGAGAGGGTTCAGATAAGGGCTCCTAAACTGGTTCATGGATTGCGGGATAAAACTTACCAGGAAAGGTTAAAGGATCTTAACATGTATAGCTTGGAGGAAAGACGAGACAGGGGGGGTATGATAGAAACATTTAAATACATAAAGGGAATCAACACAGTAAAGTAGGAGACTATATTTAAAAGAAGAAAAACTACCACAACAAAAGGACAAAGACTTAAATTAGAGGGACAAAGGTTTAAAAATAATATCAGGAAGTATTACTTTACTGAGAGGGTAGTGGATGCATGGAATAGCCTTCCAGCTGAAGTGGTAGAGGTTAACACAGTAAAGGAGTTTAAGCATGCGTGGGATAGGTATAAGGCTAAGATAAGGCCAGGGACTAATGAAAGTATTTAGGAAATTGGGCAGACTAGATGGGCCGAATGGTTCTTATCTGCCGTCACATTCTATGTTTCTATTTTTCTATTTGGAGTATCCACAAAACATAAAGAAGTTATTAGGCCCTGGGGTGTTGCTAGGTTCCTCAAAGACCTGGGGCTTGAGCCCAAAGCAAACTTGATAGCCTCTACACTAATAGATAGATGTAGATATGTCATAATATTTCCCACTGTCTATTTCCTGACTCCAATTTCCTACAGCTTGATGCTTATGATTTCCAGCATACCAATGACTCCTCCTCCAAACAATGTGATGTTTATGCTTTCCAGCATATCAATGAGAGCATTGCAATAAAAAAGCACTGCTGTGTAGCCAGATATTTTAATTCAGTTCCGCCATGGTACCTAACTAATTTGAGAAATGCAGCAGTGTTTTGGTCCTGAGCACCCCTTTCCAAAAAGTTACCTGTAAGATTTATACTAGTGATCTCTCTTTTTCTATGAGGTAGCTTTAAGTAAAATAAATTATAATTATTAATAAAGAAAATAATAAAACAAAATACTATTATGCTCCTAACCCATCTACTAGCAGTAGAGATCCTTGGCTTCAGCACCCCAAAAACACCTATGATTAGGTCCAATAAAAACAAGTTATACAAAAGAAGTTATTAGGTTCATTGCTAGGCACCTGTAACAGTTCTGTCTCAATGTCTATAACACTAAATAAATAATAAATTGAAAAAAAACAAACACACAAAAAACAAACAAACTTTTGTTAATGGAAAAAGCATAATTACATTAAAATTTAAAAAAAAGGAGTAACTTTGAAACTGGAAATTGTAGAGAATATACAAAGGAATTGACAAAATAGGCCAAACTAGCCGAATGCCTCTAATTTACTATCCTCACATCAATTCTCCACAATTCCAAGGTTAGTTAATAACCACATTTGTGTAACAAACATCTTTGACATATATTAAGCATATTATTAATCAGGCATATATTTGTTAGATATTTGTTGCATAATAAGATTTTTTTTATGAAGTTGTACACAAAATACAGAAAGCGCACAAAACTGAGCTCACCCATCATTACAGCACTAAGCACACACCATTATAGAGACCACAGTCTTCTGCAGACCAACAGTCATTGTATCTAAAAATACTGACAGCTGAGACTTACTATGAATAACCAGGAATCTGGAGGGTGGGGTGTGATTTCATTAAAAGAGAACAGGAATAATATATAATAATGTATTCTGCTAGTGAGCAAATGGTAATACGAAGATTTAAAAAATGTAACCATGAAAGGTAAATTTAGCTTTCACTAGTTTCCTTGTATGTCTAGATCAAGATGTAATTTCCATATATATAATCAGAAATTATGATGCTAAACTAATTCAAAAAACAGAAATTATAAACAGTCTTGAAAAGTAAAAAAAAGCAGTCGAGAGACAGTGCAACATATCTAGAATTGGGACAGTAAAACAGCCCAATAAAATGGGTATAAGTACATAAATCAGCTACGTCCAGAGTATTTATAGTTCAAAACAAAAATGTAACAATAATAAAATGGGGGTGATATATCTAAGACAGGAATCTATACTGTCAAAAACAATAACTTGGCCTCTGTAATGAGGGTTAGAAGTATAAAGCAGAACTTATTCTAAATCATTTGAGGCATGCAGAATTATCTTTTTCCTTTCTGTTGCTGAAATAAGACAAAACATTCAATATCAAATAATTCTTATAATCTCACCTCAGAGAGCTAAATCCAGATAAAGTAGTGGCATATTCAGCAAAACCTAGACAAGACAGTAAATAAACTATGCACCAATTCTCAATGTGAAAATGAGTAGGGTGTTGAAAATGGGTGCAGGAACAAGAAAGTAACTTTGTGTGACAAAGGGGCAAAGTTCTTGTTGTAAGGAAAGGGTGTGAAAGTCAGCATGATAATGTCACAGTGTCTACTTGGAACTATGTAACTGTGTGTACATGTCACACAAGGAAATCTCCTCCCTCTCCAGATGGAATCTACCTCCTCATTATGAGATTGTCCTTTGCTCTCAATTTAACCCCTAACTCTCCTTAATATGCGTTTGCCCTCTGCTCTCTAAATTAACTTCCTTCATCCTGATATTTATAGAAAGTCGTCATTTTAATTAGGTATTCCTCACTCTGATATTTAACACTAACCTAAACTACTTCACGTTTAACCTAAACTACTTCACATTCAACCAGTTTTGCTCCCACCCCATCATTTAGTTAATTGGTAGTTATATGCTATATTAAAGCCAGTTGTTTACAAGAGAGACTTATTTAGTGTATCTACAGAGAGAGTTGGAACCAGAAGATTTTCTCTACATACGGACAGGCTAACCAAACACATAAAACAACTAAATGAGATTTCATCTTTGGCTGAAGTATAATTTACAAGTACTCATATGACAGGGTATGTGCTTCTGTGTGGGACAAAGATGACAAATGTTATACAGGTCTCAGCTGCAGTGAACAAGTTAATATTTTGCTTTCACACCCACTTTGTTAACAGCCCTGATTCCCAACAGTGCAGAGAGCTGATGGAAATGTCTGTTTGGGCAGAGCTGCAGGTGAATAAACAAAAAGGGGGTAGTAAAATATCTAACAGGGATATTCAATTAATTGAGATTTGCCAGGAATGCAAAGTGAATATCCAAATTTAGGCCAACACAGCATATTTAGAAAAAGTTACATCTGAGTTGTTTGGCTATTTTGGCCTTGCATTTCAAATTCACTTTCAATTCTCAGCAATTCTAACTTGAATGAGTTAGTTGAGTGAATAACCCTGTTGAATGTTTACCACAAGCATCATAACTACTAGATGTGAAGAGAACCCTGGCCGCGTTCCCCTGGAAATGGGGCAAACCATTTAGTATGGTTTGTCCACTTAGCTGGGTCTTGCCAGGCTCCGGGTCTGCTGTGAAAGAGGGTTAACAACATATGGCTTTCGGCAGAGTTGCCAAAGACAGATGATAATCCTGCCTCCCTTTTATTGGCTGAGACGTCAGCTGAGCTCTCTCAACCAATGAAATATGTGCGTACATATATGTATAGAATTGACATTAAGCAGCTCCACGCTATGATGCTCCAATGACATACACTACATCCCCTAAACACACACATACACCACAGCGCCTATGCACACACTCATTACATCCCCCTATACACACACTACAGCACCTATGCACGCTCACACTCTCTACAACCAATAGATATGCACACTACAATACAATACAATAGCCACACAATACAACTGAAACCAACCTAGTTACACAAAACATCATACCACAAACAGCTCTCTACACACATGCAATACCATAATTAGCCGTCAAACACATACACAATACTCTCTCCTTGCCCTTGTACTCTGGAATCCCACTTATGGAAACACCAGCATATGGCACAGGCAAACACACCTCTACGCATTATATAGGGCCTTTTACTCATGCAAGAGCTCTTTAGCAGAGGTCTGTGCATGGGCTGCCCTGGAAGAGCATTAAACGAACATACTCACGTAGGGAAGATGCGCTTATCATTGGTGATGACACAACATGTCACTGGCTCCACCCCCGCCAGTGGACCTCCTTGGTTAGAAAATGCCTGGGCCCAATTTTCTTCCCCAATGTATGAGGTTCAGATACAACTACATGTAGTTATATTAGTTATAAACCTGCACCAGACCAAGTGAATGTCCTATACCAGTGATGGCGAACCTGTGGCATGCCGGGCCCTCTCTATGGGGAGAGGGGGCTGTTGGCTGTCTGCAGAGTAGGAACCTGCCTGCCCAAAATGGCAGGCGCCTACTCTGCTTCCGTGTCGGCTCTAGGCAACGCTCCACACAGCATCGCGTGGGAGGACAGGAGAGCTGCTTCACAGAAACATACTTACCCCCACTGGACCACCAGGGATGGTATTCAGCGGTCTGTGTGTGTATGTATTCAGCAGTCTGTGTATTCAGCAGTCTGTGTGTGTGTATTTAGCGGACTGTGTGTGTATGTACTTAGCAGCCGGTGTGTGTGTGTATTAAGCAGTCGGTGTGTATGTATTGCATTTGTTGGAGATAATAATAAATATAAGCTTTATTTTATCTATTTATATCATTATTTAAAATTTGTATAATTGAACTCTCTGGTGTGTTCTTCTTTTAAAACAAAAGTTGTTAATTCGTTCGGACAACTGTACGAGTTGTTTTTCTAAACTTGAACCTCAGTATTCAGGTTTAATTGCATTGTTGGCACTTTGAGGAAAAAAAAGTTGGCATGTATTGGGCACTCTGGCTCAAAACGGTTCGCCATCACTGTCCTATACCTAACTGTACAAGTTACAATTGCCAAAATGCAAACGCACTCTTTGTCTCCACTATCGTCTATATTTTTATTAGAGCCCTTTCGTTCTGCTAAAAGATTAAATGCCAACATACTCTGGGTTCCACACACAGGGACATAAAGTAAGGATGACATGTTGGTCTTTGTGGATTAGCCATTTATTAAACCCATTAAGGGTGAAGGAAATTGTACAAGTTCTGACCAAGCCAAAACCTAGAATTTGTGTTTGTTCAACCATAATTGACCTCTTTCATATTAAGTGCACCCACACCTATTACATATGATTTTGTTCAGGAGAAACAGGACTTTCATTTCACATCAAATATGTAGAACACAATTTAATGAATAAAATCAAAAAAAAGTTTGAGACATTAGGAAATGTTATTTTCCAAGTTCTGCATGGCATTTTAACTGTGTAATACTGTTTTTACGGCAATAAGAGCACACATATTTGTATGCTGTAATGTCCCACGATTACAACAATACTTCCCATGTACAGATTTCATGGTGTTTTGGAAAGAGCTTGTCCATTTTAGTTTTTACACATTGAATTTTGTCGGATTGATTTGCTGGCCTATGTTGCCTTTGAGACCATATGGCTGCCTAAGAGTGAAAATTACCACCATCATGGCATACTATTTCCAAAAGCAGACAGCTCAGGGTATTCAATATGGGTTATGTCCAGTCTTTTTTAGTAACCACTTAGTCACAAACTATGGCCGTAGTCTAGTCAGGGCCGGATTAACATAGGGGTTGATGGCAAAAAAAAAAATTTCTACACACTACTCTTAGGTTTGCCATCTGACTGGTATTTTAAAGCACAGCCCGTGATGGTATTGCAGTAATACCGGCAATACAAATGCAAATATTTTTCTCAGTATAAACAGAGATTACTCTGAAATACCAGCACCGGCCAGTAGGGGTCACTTTGTATGGAGAGCGGCAGGGATAGGAAGTTACACCATCTCCCTGCCTCTCTCTACTCACTGATCTGTGGGAGAGCAGCTACACAGCACAGAGAGTCCAGACAGCAGCTCCCAGCCTGCAAAGACAGACTACAGCTCAGGTTTGTGAAGGATGGGGTGAAAGGCAGCATGGAGACATGGGGACACTGAGACACTAGGGGAAACATGGGGACACTGAGACACTTGAGGACACTGAGAAACATGGGGACAATGAGACACTGTGAGACATAGCGACACTAGGGACACAGTGTCCCCTAGTCTCCTAGTATCTGTATCCCCATGTCTCTCAGTGTCCCCATGTCTCCGATTGTCCCCAAATGTCTGTATCCCCATGTCTCCCAGTATCCACATGTCTCCCAGCCAGTTTCTCAGTGTCCCCATGTATCCCAGGGTCCCTATGTTTCCCAGCCAGTGTCCCTAGTGTCTCAGTGTCCCCATGTCTCCCATTGTCTGTGTCCCCATGTCTCTATGTGTCCCTAGTGTCCCCAAATGTCTATGTCCCCATGTCTCTCAGTGTCTCCATGTCTATGTTCACAAGTGCTCCCATGTCTCCCAGTGTCCCCAAGTATCTGTGTCCCCATGCCTCCCAGCCAGTGTCCCTAGTGTCTGTGTCCCCATGTCTCCCAGTGTCTGTGTTCCCATGTCTCTCAGTGTCCCTAGTGTCTTAGTTTCACCAAATCTCTCCCAGTGTCTGTGTCCCCATGTCTCAGTGTCCCTAGTGTCCCCATGTCTGTCTGTGTCCCCATGTCTATGTTCACAAGTGGTCCCATGTCTCCCAGTGTCCCCAAGTGTCTGTGTCCCCATGCCTCCCAGCGAGGGTCTGCCAGTGTACCCTAGTCTCCCAGTGTCTGTGTTCCCATGTTTCTCAGTGTCCCTAGTGTCTTAGTTTCAACAAATTTCTGTGTCCCCATTTTTCCCAGTGTCTCCAAATGTCTCAGTGTTACCATGTCTCCCAGTGTCCCCATGTCTGTATCCACAAGTGTCCCCATGTCTCCCAGTGTCCCCAGATGTTTCAGTGCCCCCATGTCTCTCAGTGTCCCCTAGTATCCTCGTGACACAGGACACACTGAGACATGGGGACACTGGGAGAAATGGGGACACAGACACTGGGAGACTAGGCGACATGGGGACACTGACACTGTGATATATGGATATGGATTTACTTGAAAGATGAAAGCATACATTAGAGAGAGATTAGCATAGAGTGTGTGTTTTCTTATAGCTGCATCCTTTGAGTTTCCCTCCAACAACAACTCCATCAGATTCATGACGCTTGAGAGGTATGACTGTTTTAGTGTTTTTGGTCGATAAGATTCTGCAATTAGGCCCCATCAGAATTGTCAGCACCAGGCCCACTGTGCTCTTAATCTGGCATTCATATTAGTTTTTTTTCAAAAACTACCCTTTCAACAATTATATCATCATTACTATACATTTTACTTCTCTAAAACACTCATATGTGTGTTCACCAGTCTCACGGGTACAGTACCTACCATGTACTGGTTTTGAAAGTTACAAGTTCAAATATAGGGCTTGAAAATTATAGAAACAAAAGATAGGCCCATGTTTCTGACTGACAATGTAATGGATTCTTCTTTCATAAGAATTAATTGGCCATGCTGATGTTTT